GCAGCGTGTCGTCCTCTTCATACAATGCCTGACCAGACTGGTTACCCGCCACGATTCCCTAGACTGGGACATTCCACTTGCCACTTGCCACTGCTTACACAGCCCTCTGCCCTACTTTCTGCTCAGACCTTTTAAAGTAGTCTCTCATAAGAGACTCCTGAAAAAGTTAATGTGAGTTTACTTACTTGTAAAGTAGCTGGGTGAGCAGCACCGTGCCCTCTGGCCTGGCCCCTTGGGGCCGAGCAGGAGGTGCCCGCGTGCACACCAGCGTGAATCATGAATCAGCTCCCAGCAACAGTTTTCCACGTGTCCCCTGTGATTAGGGAGGCAGGGCAATTTCCCCTGATAGAGGCACGCATAGATGGGAAGGGTTGCTGTGGGATTTTCTCAAACTGGAATCTTTGTATCATGTAATAGATTTCCCATTCTCCACTTAATAAAAGGTACATTCTACTTACCGTCTTCTCTAGACTTCAGTAGTCTCACATTGGCCACAGTGAGCCGTCCTCACCCCGGCAGAAGGGTTTGCAGCAGGTTTCATCACATGGGAGTCTGTTTCCTTTGAGCCTTGTTCACTTTTTCCTCTGCATTTTCTCCAAAAGAAGACTCCAGAATAATACAAGAAACACAGCAAAGTTAGGATCCCGATTAACTGTGTGGGAAAAGATGAGAAGGGGATACAGGGGACCTGAATGTGTTCCCAGGTTGGGCACTGGGTCCATGGACGTGCACTGATGACAGTCCTCATGCCTTTTGTGTTGTCACACTTGATACTACTACACGACATGGTGGGCTCAGGGTGCCCACCTCTTTCTCTTTGGCCCTGAGCCAGGTGCTTGGGTTTGGGGTGGGATTTTTAGCAACCAAGCGTCCTCCTTGAATCTGGCCTATCGACTTTATCTTATTTACTCAAGGACAAAAGTTCCTGCCAGCATACTTCGTAGTGTTCTGTGGCCTGATGCCAGTGTAATTGTTTTATTCCAGCAGCCTAACTCCAGGAAGATTTCTCTGGAATGCTTTAGAAAGCCCAGAGAGTACCCTAGAATAGAGCAAAGGGCTTCCTTGTTTTGACAGCTGGTGCGGAATCTGACCTCTGACCTTTTTCAGAAAAGTGCAGGGGTTCACAGAGCTATCATGGGAGGCGACCCTTTTCATTAAATGTTCGGCATTTGAAGCTCTCAGCCTGGATGTGACTACTTAGCCAGACAGGGCCGGCACCCCTCCCCGCCCCACCTGCAAGTCTAAGAGGTGCTGAGTCACTGCCCATGACAGGGCTCTTTTGTAAGGGGGAAGAACCACTCGATGCAGCTTCTCTCACAGGTGACTGGTGACCACTTGCTCGAGGCAGACAGGCGTTCCTAGGATGGAGAGCGAGTTCCCTCAAAGAAACACTGGTGAGGGGTTGGGGACGGAATGTGAAGCTGGACTGTCCACAAGAGTGTCTTGAAATCCTAATCATCACCTGCAGTAGAAGCTCCTGCTCACTCTCCAGAAGCTGTGAAGCTTTAGATCCAGGCCCTTCACCTACTGGCTGTTGGACTTGGGCAAATTACTTACTATCTCTGCTCTGAGTTTTCTCATTTGTAAAAGACAATAATGGTACCGTCTCCTCAAGGCTACTTTGAGGATTCGCGGAGTAAGAATAGGCCAGTGCCTGGCAGATGATAAGCTCCTGTATGTGGCATTATTACGACCACGTCAGGGTGTACCTGTCCCTGAAGCAGTGGGATTTCTGAGAGTCAGAAACCAAATTACTTCTCAGCACCCAGTGGGGAGCTCACTCTGCAAACCAGTCCTCAGAAGGTTCCTGGTGGGGCTCCCCTGTGTGCTGCACAGTGGGGTGTGTGGGTGTGGCCCCACACTGCGCGACGCCACGTTGGCCACTCGCCCACAGGAAGTGCTAGAGCACAGACGGAGGGGCGTCAGTGCACAGGTGAGCCGGGACACCCGAGGGTACACAGCTCTGCTAACCGGCATTGTCCCCACAGGTAAGTCACCCCAGTCCTCCACCTTGCCATTTCTTCATCTTCAAAGTGGGGTTAAAAATCACTTCCTCGGGTTATTGGGACAACAAATGGGATTATGGATAAACTACTTGGCACACAGCAAGGGCATAGGAATCTGGTGTTAAAAGAATGAAACAGTCCTCTGCCGACGTCCTTGGTGGGGAGACTGGTTTTACTATATAGGCTCCTGTGCTTTTGAATTTTACCTTCCGTGACTGGCTTGAAAGATCAGTAAAAGCCTGTACGGGCTCTAGTACGGGCTGCCCAGCTTCCCGGGGAGGAGCCCAGGTCCCTATTCAGTCCCGCCAGGAACTCGCTGTGCTCCGTGTTACTGAGCCCAGGTGCCCGTGTCTGTTCTCATCCACGTGAAGGGGGTGATGAGCTGTTCTGAGGAGGAAATGAGTGCCCGCCCAGTGACGACTATTCAGGGTTCACCATTTCTTACCCAGCTCGTGTGGAAAGTGGGACTTCTGGCCCTGGCCAAGTCTGTCCCTGCCGACCCGACCATGCAGGGACAGTCTGGTGGCTAGTCCAGCAAAGAGCCTCCCTGTGCAGAAATCCCAGGCCCCTTCGTCTTCAGCCACAACTCCTGCTTTATTGGGGACACAGGTTGGTTATAAAGACCACTGGATCAGACAAGCGAGTAGACAGGATTTCTTGGCAAGGAGACCTTAGGTGGGGGATGGGCAAGTGGTACGCATTCTCTGACACGCGGAGTCCATCCCTTTGGGAGGAGCAGAGGCCTTTGGGATGGTTAGCACGTATGTGCCGTCTAGAAATCCTCTATGTTGTCCCAGGTACTACCGAGTGCTGTGTAACAGACCACCCTAAGCACAGGTAAGAGCCATTAGTAGTAGTGTCCTAGTTCTGTGGGTTAGGACCTGGAAGGGCCCGGGGGCACAGCCTGTCTCTGTTCCACAGTGTCCGGGCCACTCCGTGGCTGGGGTCATTTGGAGGGGTCTGGCCTCTTCATGCCTCTGGTGGTCACTGCTGGCTGCTGGCTGGGACCTCAGCGAGGGTGGAGAAAGGCACACGTGGCCTCACGCGGCGCTGGGATGCCTCACAGCACGGCAGCCTCGGGCTGCGCTGGCCTCTTACACGGGGGCTCCGCCCCAGAGGTGAGGGATCCTGCTAACAGCAGACACGACACGGCCCTGGAAGACGTAGCCTGGGCGCCAGCCAGCCGGCCGCAGGTCAGCCACAGTGCATCAGGTACAAGCACGTCATTAGCACCTCCACTTCAACGGGGGGTGGGGGTGGGGGGGAGGGTTAGACGTGACCTCTAGATGGCAGAGGATGTGGGGAGCGTGTGGGCCCGCAGATACTGACCGGATTTTTTGAGGAATTTGATTGTCACACGGGCTCCCCTGGAGAAAGACCATTCGTTACATGGAGAAGTCAGGCGCTCGGGCCTGCTTTGGGAGTCTTCCTTTTTTTTTATTTTTATTTTTTTAAAATGTATTTATGATAGTCACAGAGAGAGAGAGAGAGAGAGAGAGAGAGAGAGAGAGAGGGGCAGAGACACAGGCAGAGGGAGAAGCAGGCTCCATGCACCGGGAGCCTGACGTGGGATTCGATCTGGGGTCTCCAGGATCGCGCCCCGGGCCAAAGGCAGGCGCCAAACCGCTGCGCCACCCAGGGATCCCTGGGAGTCTTCCTGAGCCGCACGTACAGGAATTCAAGTCACAGGGTGCACCGGGCACTGCTCTAAGTGAACTCCTTTAGCACGACACTCTCTGCAGCAGGCCCTGGCGTCGTCCCCCATTTGTAGATGAAGCCCAGGGACGTGAAGTAACTTGTTCGAGGTCACGGAGCTCCTGAGCCCTGGAACCAGAACCTTGGCAACCTGGCGCGGGTCTGTGCCCTCAACCATTAGACTGTCTGACCGCTCCACGTGTACAATTCACGTCTTTCCTCGGCCCCTGGCACACCTACTGCACACCTACCATGTGCCAAGTGCTGTGCCGGGGACCTCGCGTCCGTGGGGAGAGAAGACGGGAGGCCCTGACTCCGTGACCCTGTGGAATCCACACGACAGCCAATGCAGGTTTTTTTTTTGAATCAGCATTTTACGGTGCCATTTTGGGAGGAAACAAAGGATGACTCCTCCTGAATTACGCGCTCACGGTGCCCAGTCTAGGGCAGCGGAGAAGGACCCAGTGAGCCCCCGGACGTCCGCGTCCCGTTTACGGCGAGGGCGCGGCTCAGAAGCCCGGATGCCCATGGTCCCAGCACGTGGGCCTCGGCGGAGCGCTCTCCCCTCGGGGCCTTGTTCCCTCGCCTATCGCGTGGGGCACCTACCTGCGCGCGGCGGCCGCTGAGGTCCCAAAGGGCCGGCTCCTGCGGGGGGCAGGGGGCGGCGCGCTCGGTGTGCACAAGGGTCGCCTCCAGCCGCCGCGTCGTGTGGCTCCTCCGCGGGGCGAAATCGCTCCCTCGCAATTGGGCCGTTTTCCGCGATGCGGTCACTCGGCTCCAGACCCTCCTCCGCGGACTCTTCCACGGCCCCCGGAGTCACGCCCGCGGGGAGGCCGCGGCCTTCCACGGCCGTGTACACGTGCACATCAGTTTTTCCGTCTTTTTTCCGAGCGGGCGGGTGGGCAGGGGGGCAGGATCTGAAGCCGACGGCGCACAGCGTGGGGCCCGACGTGGGGCCCGTCCCCAGACCGTGACTTGGGCGGGGGCCCGGTCAGGCCCTGCGCGCCGGGGGCTCGGCGGTTCGGCGCTGCCTGCGGCCCAGGGCGTGACCCGGGTCCCGGGATCGAGTCCCGCGTCGGGCTCCCTGCGTGGACCCTGCTGCTCCATGAATGTTAAATAAACAAGTTCTTTAAAAATAAAAGCCACCTCGGGCGGAACTACCTCAACATGTCCTTCGAGGTGGGGGCCGCTGTCCTTTGACGGAGGCGCGGAGCCCGCCCGCCCCGCCCCGCCTGGACCGCGAAGGCGCTTCCTAGAGCGGCCGCCAGAGGGCGCGCGGCGGGCGGGGGGGGCGGGGCGCTTCGCGGTTTGTCCCCTTGCGCGGCCCGTCTCCCGGCGCCGCGGCGGGAAATCCGAGGGGCTCCTCCCGGCCGCCGCCTCCCTCTGCCGTCGCGCGCCGGCCTCGTCGGGCCGCTGTCATGGAGGACGACGAGGGGGCCGAGGAGCAGGAGCGATTCTCCCACCAGCAGGTACAGGAATGCCGGGTCCCGGCCCGGCCGCGCGGGGGGAGGACGGCGTCCAGCTCCCGCGGACGGAGGGGCCCCAGGCCTCGCCCGGGCGCTCCTTGGGGCGCGTCCCCCGGGCCGGAGCGCGCGCTCGACCCGCCTGCGCCTGCGCGGCTGCCGCGGGGGCTGCTGGGAGGCGGTCTCCACGGTGACGGGGTCGCCGTCGGGTGGCTGGGGGCGGGCTGCGGGGGGGCGGCCGCGGTCTCCGGGCTCGCACGCAGCTGTGCTGCGCGTGGGGCCTGCGCCCCGGGACACGCTCCAGCCCACGCACTTGGCGCGGGCCCGGCGCGTGGCCGCCGGGACGGGCGGGGCGGCCCCGGAGCGCGCGTGCGCAGCGGGCTCCTCCCCGCGTGGATCCCGCCCCCTCCCCGCGTGGATCCCGCCCCCTCCCCGCAGCCCCGCCCCTCCCCGCAGCCCCGCCCCCCGCAGGCGGCATGGGGTGGGGGTGATGCTGGCCTCCTCCCGGGCGCCGTGACGGTCGCGGGCGGCCCCGGGGAGCACACGGGGCAGAGCCGCGAGAGCGGACCCTGTAACGGGGGGAACCGGGGGCGAGCCCAGGGCACCAGAGTCCTCCCGCCGGTGTTAGGCTTCGGAAGCCCTTCGTTCGCGGCCTCCCGTATTGGGGGAAGCACAGCGCAGTCCACGGCCGCAGCTCCACACCCGGATTCACCAGCCGTTAATCCTTTGCTGTATTTCCTCCTCTGCTCTCTTTCTTCCGAATCATTTCAGATTTAGTTGCAGGTACCTTGACACCTTCCCGTTAGGTTTGACGGCTCTGGTGTGCCTCCCCCGACGACGAGGGGATCCTCCTACACAACCTCAAATGGCACACTCAGGAAGTTTAATGCGGCGAATCCTGGTGTCTGATGATCCGTCCATGCCCACACTTCCCCAGTCGTCCCAAAGCGGTTTCTCCTGATCTGTTTTCTTTCCTCCAGGACCCAGGCAGGGGTCATAACTTTCATTTAGCAATCCCGTCCCTTTGATCTGTCCTGGGACAGTTCTCTCTGTCTTTCCCGACACTGGTGGTTTTGAAGCGTCCACTGATGGCAAAGGTGTAGTGGGAGAGAAACCCTGAGAGCCGGGCTGTGCTTTTCCTTTTCGTATTCTCAGCCCCCGGTACCTGCTGGCTGAAGAGATGAGTAAGGCTGCAAAGATGGGCTGAGAAATCGGTGAGCGGGTTGAGGATCCCACCACCCATCAAGCAGCTGTTCTTGGCCCAGAGTAGGGAACACAACTGACAGGGTCCTGCCCCTGGGGAATGTAGGGTCTAGGGAGTTAGCCTTGAAGTGCGGTGTCATCTCTGGCATTGAAGAGGCACTTGGCCCTGCCCAGGAGGCATGCAGGAGGAGGGTCAGAAAACTTCCTGAGAGGCTCCCTGTCCCGTTCCTCTAAGGACACTGCTACCTGTACCTAAAAAAGATGATGGTGGCAGGCCATATTCCTCCCAGGGTGATGGTCCTTTTGTCTCCTCCTACCATCGGTCTTTTGGTTTCTGAAACTAAGGAAGGTAATTGCCCTTGCTTATCTGCCTGGCCTCTACCCTGGGGTCCTGGACCTGTGTTTCTGCAGTTCCTCCTCATCCTGTCTCAGCTGTGAACACTTGCTGAGAGAGCTTATGCTGTTTGGGGTACAGCTGTCCCCCTGTCCGGTTCAGTTCTGTCTCCAGCACGGAGAAGGAACACAGCCAAGGGTGCAATAAGTTTGTGGACATGAGATCCTGGCTTGGCTTTGTTTTGCTCCTTTGCTCCTCCTCTGCATGGGAAAGATATGTTCTTCAGTATCTGAAAGGTTTGCTGAGGAGCAGTGAGGGTCCTGGGGAGGTGGGCTAGCAAGCCAGCAAGTCCAAGGAGGGTCCGATGTGCCCTCACAGGCCTTTCCTAACATGGCCCTAAGCATTTGTCCTTTGTCACATGCAGGCCTGTGCATGTCTGGCAGAGACTTAGAGCAGAAGGATGGGATCCTTTCGCATTTCACTAGATTCACCTTTGTCTGGTTGTTCATTGTTCCTGAAACACCTAGCATATGCCTTTACTCAGCGGGAATGGGTACGTATTTATGGAGTAGCTGAGTAAAGTCGTGCAGATTCTTTCTAAGTGCAAGTCTGACTTTTCTCCCTGCCGACCTGCCGCTGTAATTCCTTATCTTTACTTGACCTAAATCATAACCATTAACTAGGAAGTAACGTTTCTACAAGTCACACTCCAGAGGGCCTCATTAATTTATTAGTACACTTGAAAAGTCACTCAGCCATTAGGAAAGTGCCCAAGGAATTGAGAACAGACCCTCTCCTTGGTCTTAATTTTCTAAAATGTGAAAACCTCTTCTTTGCAACCTGACCTATGAAGTGTTTCAATTTTTGCTCCAGAGGCTAAAAGCAGCCGTGCACTACACTGTCGGTTGTCTTTGCGAGGATGTCGCATCGGACAAAGAAGTGCAGTTCAGCAAGCAGACCATTGCAGCCATCTCAGAGCTGACCTTCCGCCAGTGTGGTACGAAGCCAGGGCCTTCCTCTGTGTACAGAAATCCCCAGAGTTGCTTTTGCCTGGGAGCAAGGTGTGGGGTGGGCGGGGTAGCATCGGGCGCTGTGCAGGAAACACTTCCGGGCTGTAATATCCAGATGTTTTATGGGCAGAACTTTTGTTTTCTCTATTACCCAACACTGGGCATGAAGACCTTTATTTTATTGTGTTTAATTGCCTGGAACGTTACACGTTAAAGTTTTAGATCATTGCTCTCTAACATTTGTATATTGCCAGTGCCAGGGTTTAGTCCACAGCTGAGCCTGTAACATTGGTATCTGCTTGAAGTTCCAGGAAAGTAACATCTTCTCAAGCCCTAACTTGTAACAAGATTTAAAGTTAAGGGCCAGTTTCATGGAAGGAGGTGTGGCCACAATGACCACAATTATGAGGAGGAGGTCGCAATGAATAAAACGGCTGATAGCTCGAAAAACACAAAACCAAGACCGGCTAAAGGCTCCCGGTCTGGGGATGGGGTGGCCCAAAGTGCCTCAACCTGCCTTGGAAAGAGTGACGCAAGGATAGCTAAAGCACATCTTTTTCTCTTTCAGAACATTTTGCCAAAGACCTTGAAATGTTTGCAAGGTGAGTAAGGAGCTTGCGTTTTGCTGTGTGTTTGCATCCTATTCATACCCTCCACCTGGTGGTATATTTCAGGAGGGCTTTAGTCTTTCTTGTGTGTGCATTTTGTGGAGGCTCATCTCTAATCATGATTCTGCAAGAATAGGAAATCTGCTCTAATCACGTCCATTCAGACTTGATTTGGCTTGTTTGTTTGTTTTCGATGCCTTCCAAGTATCTTTTTGTCAAAGCCGCAGAGTTGTTCAGTTCCCGGTTAAGAAAGTAGTAAGAACAGCTCCGGGGCTGTGAACGTGCGGGGCGTGTGTGCTTTGAAGAACGTTTCTGCAGGACGGTGCGGGGCACGTGCGCGCTGAGTGCCGGGCAGTGATTGCAGGTGGGCCTCCGGGCAGCACCCAGCACCCGCCCGCAGTCAGCCTCGGGTTTGCAGCATCAGTCACCAGAGAGACACGCACTCCTTGAAAAGCGGGTGACTTGCTTTCAGCGGGTAAGCTTTGGCTTTTACAGGTGATTTATGCTCATCTCTTCAATTAGTACCTCAGGTAATTGAAAACAATCGCAACGAATTGCTTTTATGAAGCAATTTGAATGACTGAGGCCGGAAAGGGCTAAAGCTTTCCAATTTGCTCACACTTCTGATTTGGTGCCAGTCTCTCCCGCACCCTGAGCTTTTCACCTTGCTCCTGTTAGCTCTTGGTTGCTCGGGTGAGTATTTTGAATGAATTAAAGCAGTAGGTTCTCAGAGGGCAGACTCTAAATCTTTGCTGCCTCTGTGTGTATGAATCCCTAAAAACCGCTTAGCATCTCCAACTTGGCCAAAAAGGGAAAGATAATATGGAATACTAATAGCTCCTGCAGTTTATTCATCGTTAAATCAGGTGGTGGCTCCTTTGCGTGGCGCCCAACCCCACCCCCCAGCTGCTGCATCGCCTGTGAAGTACCTTTATCACCTTTCCTTGCCGTTTCTTTCCTTTTTTTGGGGAAAATACAACTTCTTTTTATTACAGAGTGGCACAAAAATATGAATATGTAAGCCAGTGATTATTTGATGTAAGCGTAAAGTTAATCAACACAGCACGGGTTCTCCATCTCAGCATCACTGACATTGGCTAATTCGGGGTTGTGGTGGGGACTATCCTGTGCATTGTACGGTGTTCATGGGCTTCTCTGCCCTCTGCCTGGTAGATGCCAGCAGTAAGCCCCCAGCTGTGACTTTTCCTGCCATTTCTGGGGTAGCTGTGGGAAAAGACAAGGTTTTTAGATGCTTTTATAAAAACACTAGAAATAACGACTTTGGAAATATTTAGCATTGTAATACCTTGAGCTTTCATGGGCTCTGTGTTGTTTTTTTTTTTTTTTTTTTTTTTTTTTTTTTTTATGTTAAGAGGCTGATTTCCTTTGCTGGGTACTTGGCAGGTAGAGGGCGTGGTGTGTGCGTTTTACTTGAGCTGTAAGCTCCCCAGGGACGGCCGGCACCTAAGCCAAGGGGTCTGCGCAAAGGCTGTCAAGCTGCTGTTGTCTAAGAGAGAGGCAAGGCTTGCTGGCTGAGCTGCCTCACCTTTTGCGTGTCCAGGGGTGTCCAATGCTCTTCACACTCCCCCAGCCCCCAAACCCTGAGCCAGCAAAGTGCAAATTTTCTTTGAAGACTGGACCTTTGCCTAATTTCACACTGATCTTCATAATACTTCACTTTGCTATCATATTAAAAAAAAGAATCGTGTTTTAAAATTTCTCACAGGGGTTGCCTGGGTGGCTCAGCTGGTTAAGTGTCTGCCCCCAACTTGGGTCATGATCCCAGGGTCCTGGGATCGAGCCCTTCATGGGGAGGGGGTGTCTCTGCTGAGCTGGGAGTCTGCTCTCCATCTCGCTCTGCCCTCTTCCCTGCTCTTGCGCGCGCTCTCTCTCTCTCTCTCTCTCAAATAAATAAAATCTTCAAAAAAAAAAAATAAAGTTTGTCATGGAATGACATTGATATTCCCAGGTCAGCTTCGTTTATCGTGTGGCTTTGTTTTGTCCCCGCGGCCACTGTCTTCTAGAACTGTGAGTCCTGCATGGAGTCTGAAGGACTGTTTTCAGGCCCACTGTGTATTAAAGGGTTTTTGTAGGCTGGGAACCCAGCCAGTATTTTAACATTGTTTCTATGGAAAATGCGTTTAAATTTAAATAGTTCTCCTGTAAACTTTGGAAAATCATCTCCCGATTTAAGTTGTGAATTTCCCTTAAATTTAGCTTTGAAATCTCTAGTCATCTAATATCATTACTATGTTCAAGATGTAACATTTTGAAGATAGATATTAGTAAATAAATTCTAGGAATATTTTGGGAATAGTCTTTAAAACCTGTGTTGCTGAAAGTATTACATGAAAAACTGCTTTATAATTTTCCCTTGGGTGATTTCCTGGAGTCAGAGGTTTGATTTAGGAGAGTCTCTGAGGTGTGGCGGCGGCACAGGCTGTACCTGCCCCTCCGTTTAGGGCAGTGTTAGCCTTAGATAGGTGTGTGGTGGAGGGGGTTGGCTTTGCCGCTTCCTAAATGCTTCCTTGTGAACTGACTAAACTTACCCTGTAGACAGTTCAGTAGGCTGCTTCCTTTCATCTGTTCCTTTTGTGGACTTGGCGAAGGACGTGAACACGGGTAGAGCGGCCGGACGGTGGGCCTGAGGGCCCCACTGCGACCGGCACCTAACCGCCTCCACCTGCTGTGGCCCCTTGCGGCCTCTTCCCTCCTCTCCTGGTCCCTTGCACATGGCTAATTAGGAGCTGTCTCCTGGAACGGTCCAGTCAGCGCAGGCGGGGTTGTCAGTCGTGAGGAGGGACACATGGTATCTGCGCATTTAGCAGGATGTGAAGGTTTAATTCGGCAAAATTATAGAGTGTGATTCTGTGTGATTTTACTGTTAACAGGTATTCGGTGAGGACTTTATGTATCTTGGCCACTTAACTGGTTATTAAGGGTACAGAGATGCCTACTTACTCCCGTGTGCAAAGTCTCTACGTATTTTTGGAGGAAATTGGAAATGGCAAGGAATGGTGTATTTAGAGCAATAAATTACTAACTAGAGCTTATTATCTGAAATTATCTCTTTTTTTAAAACGATTTTATTTATTTGTTTGAGACAGAGAGTGCGCACACGAGCGGGGAGAAGGGTCAGAGGGAGAGGGAGAAGCTCCCTTCCTCAGTGGGGAGCCCCACGTGGGACCCAGGCCCTGAGATCATGACCTGAGCTGAAGGCAGATGCTCAACCAACTAAACCACCCAGGCACCCCTGAAATTACCTTTTAAAGCAAAGATAAGAAAACTGGAATGAGAATTTGAGTCCCAAGTTGTGAGCAAGACACAGACCCCAGTTCCAAGGATGTTCTTTGTTCTGGCTTGGCTGTCGACGAGGAAGCACGTTAGCTCCTTGTTGGGAAGTGGGGTGTTAGGGGACACCTGCCTGAGCCTCTTCCTGTAATTTAGCCCTTGGAGAAGAGCTTCAGGATCTTGGTATCTTTGTTCTTGTCTTTAACGTCCGTGTAAGCACAGGCGATCTTTGTGTTGGGAGATACCGTGTTGTGTCATTTTCTCTCTTCACTAGAGGCGTGCCCAGACACTAATTGCCCCGACCCCGGCGTGTGCTGTGAGCGTCGTGCCCATGCAGGTCCCTGCTCGGGCACCCGTGGCCTCGGCTGGAGGTGGACAGATGGGCTTCTGCCTTCCATGGTCTTTTTATTTAATTAGTATCTTGGCTAAGTCACTTCACTCATCTTTATGTCACTGTTGGTTAATGAATTTAATCTAAAAAGATGGGCTACTTAGAGATCCTTGCTAGTTTGGAGTCTGACCATGAACTTTTGGGTTTCATCAAAACTTGAAATGATACTAAACATTTTGGTGAATTGTTCCTGCCCTTTCTACAGACATGCAAAAAGAAGCACAATTAACACTGAAGATGTGAAGCTCTTAGCCAGGAGGAGTAATTCACTGGTGAGAGATGAATTTCTTTCCTCACTCCCCTTTCCCATCAGAATACATTATTCCCAATTAATCACTCGCAGCCATGAAGCGATTCCCTAGGGCACCTTGCATTAAAAACGAGAGACGGTTGAACCATTCAGACCTGCCCGCAATTTATAGTCTCTCTTTCATCATGATGGATCTTGCTAAGCCAATTTGAAATTTTCTAATCAGCACTCTCTGGATTTCATAATTTGCCTTTTTTGTAACATCTCAAAACTTTGGCCCTGTATTTCATTTACAGCACGATGTCAGAGACAGGCCATGGGTTAGAGCGTGTGGGGATAGTTGTGTTACGGTGACCACAGCTCTGATGGGCCAGCTGTGGAAGGAGTGTGTGCACGGCTGGGACGGGCAGAAAACCGTGCACATTTTCTCTCTTTCCAGAGAAATCTAGACATCGTCTTGACTGTGCCCTCATTTTACAGGTGATGCTGTGATCATCCCGGGTTAGTGGCTGTGGCCTGGGGCCCACCCAGGGCACCTGTGAGGTTCTCTGACCTTGTCTAATCCTTGCAGTAAAATACTTTACGTTCCCTGTCATGTGAGCTCCACCAGGGCGGGGATCTTTGTCTCTTCTCTGCTGCATCTGCTGTGCCTAGAATAGGGCCTGGCACACAGCAGGTGCTCAATAAGTAGTTGTTGAATGAGTCTGTATAGCAGTTGACAGTTTGCAGGGGTCTTTTGTCATTATTATTTTACATACATTATTTAAAACCTCACAACCACCCTCTGAGGTTTTTAGTAATGATCGATTGGCCCGATTTTATAGGGGAGGCAGCTGGAGTTCAGTAACTTCCCGGAGCTGAGCTCGAGTCTCCCTGGTGGAGAGGGGCAGTAGGCAGCACCACTTCCCCTGGGCTCTCTTTCCCCCTCTGCTCTTCTACCGTCCTCTCTCCGAAGTCTAAGTCAAGGTGAAAGACACTGTGATTCCTCGGGAAAACAGCTAAGGTGGCGGGAGGGGCTGCGTATCCGTGGGGAGGACCCTTCTCTCTCTCCATACGTTCTGTGCGGGTCATACTGGTAGGTGGTTGGTCTCAGTGAGCAGTTTCTTCCTTTTGCAAAGGAATGGTCAGTGCAAGTCATCTTAGAATATTAATTGGGAAGTTACCTGTTTATTGCACATTTGTTTACTTCGAAATACTGTTTTTATTTTGGGCTCTTAATTTTTTTTTCATGACAGAGGTGCAGCTAAATTTACCCATTTGAGAAAATCCTCCCGGAGGGCAGGGACTTTGTGTTACTTACCTAGTATCCCTAGTACCTGGTGCATAGCAGTTGCTCAGTGACGTTAGTCGGGTACACTTAGAGGCGGGTCTTGATTGTACTGGTGCTTGGTAGAGTATACATAGGCCTGGCGTGCTCCTGCACGCTCCACCTTTTAACTCTTGATTCCTCGGGGAGCTCCTACCTGTTTGGTAGGAGTGTGGGCAGCAGTTGGTTGATTTTTGTAGTTGATGACCTCTTCCAGGAAAAACTGGAAGTTCTATTTTACTCTAAGGAACATAACCCAAGCTTTTCCACCCAAACTCTTATGGCAGGAGTGGTTAGGAGGGGTATAGATTCCCACCCCCCGCCCCCCAGTTTATAGAGTGGCTTCACAACCAGATCAAAATGGAATTCTTTAATTTTTTTTTTTTTGTAGCTAAAATATATCACAGAGAAAAATGAAGAGCTCACTCAGTTTAACATAGAGCAAAGAGCGAAGAAGAAGAAGAAGAAGTTAGAGGATGACAAGACAAAGTCATTGGCACTGGCAGAGGCCGCAGCCTCGGGAAGGGACAGTTCGGCTCCGTCGCCAGGGGCAGAAGCAGCCTTCCGGGAGGGCCGCCAGGAGCAGGTGCGGCCCTGAGGGATTTTTGAAGGGATCAGTAGAGATTAAAGGAAAAAGGCGAGGCGGCTTGTTGGGCCGCGCGCTCCGGTCGTGGCTGCAGAACTAGTGTCAGAGCCGGAGAGTCTCCAGGAAAATGCTCCTGTCTCCCCCGCTCTGACACACGACTCCGAGGGGCAGAGGTCGGAAATCGTATCTGTCGCCATTAATAAAATGATGTCAGCAATGAAATGTGGTCGGCTTCTTCAAGCAAACATCTTAGTTATTTCTTTATTCTTCTACATAATTCTTCAGGCTGACAGCCCCGAAAGACGAATGAAGCTCTCTGCATTTATATTGTCCTTTTGATCACCAGTGTGGCTTTGAAGCCTGTGCCACGTGTGGCCACGAAGCCAATGTGATGCTCACAGGTGGATGTTTGGAAAGTGTCCGTTCTACTTTTTAAAGGTGATTTTCCCCAGAAACACAGTTTATGCAGTTTTTCTCTGGCTCTTTTGTAATTTTACCACCGGGCAGGAGTTTGCTTGAGAGGAAGACCTGCTGCATTCCCAAGCGCTGCCATCTGTCGTGCTGGTTCAGTCAGCGAGGGCCGGAGCTTCCAGTCCTGCTGCCTTCTCTTCGGGCGTCTGGGGGCCCAGGGCGCACCGCTCCTCACGCGGGCAGGAGGGACAGGGAGCAGGACTGCATCTGGGGGCCGTCCTGTGCGCCAGGCTGCCCCCGGGGACCCGCGTGGAACCCCAGCGCGTCCTCAGCCTGACGGGAGGCATCTGATTGTCCCCGGGTCTTCCTGATGCGCAGGCCGAGGCTCAGAGGTGAGCCTGCTGCCCGGGATCTGCTGGGCCGTAGAGAAGCGTTCACCCTGACGGTGCTGCCTCAGGAGGACACCCGTTCTGGATAGAACCACCCATGCCCGGCATGATCCGTAGAAGACACCCCCCCCCCCCGCCCCCGTTTGGCTCTCGAAGGGACATGGTAAGCGGTGCCCCCAGGAAAGCACTCAAGCCAAGCTTCCTGGCCTCACGTTCTGCAAATGATGTTATCTTTCCACCTCAGAAAATGAGCGTGACATCCGTGTGTCATGTCAGTGAAAAGAAAAGGAACCCTAAAGCTTCTGTCCTTCCGATCATAGTCCGTGTGTGTGAGCAGCTTCCTTTTTGGGTCAAGGCGCTGCGACGCGGCATCAGGAGAGGTTAGAGCCGGACGCTGTGACCTTGCAGAGGTCCGCACTCCGGTGGCTTCCTGGTTTTGCGACTCGTGGCCGTGTCTCTAGCTTTGTGTCCTCATCAGCGCAGGAGAGTCCGCGGTACTTGGCAGTGGCCTGTGTGTGACGGGGGAGGTGCGTAGGATTGTTATGACGGGTCTTGGCTTTTGTTTTTTAAAGGTTTTCTTTGAGAGAGACCGAGACTGCGCAGAGAGAAGCCGCGGGGAGGAGGGGACAAGCAGGCCCGCGGCTGAGCGGCGATAGCGTGGGGCTCCGTCAGGACCCCGCATCGTGACCTGAGCCGAGGGCAGGTGCTCAGGCGCTGAGCCACCCAGATGCCCGAGCATCTCAATTTTCAATACCATTTGTGGGAACTTTCTTTTTAAATTTTTTTATTTTTTGTGGGAACTTTCTTAAGCAAAAGAATCCGTCTAGAAAGAAAGGGCGGAGCCGCTCCTCGGGCCACCACTTTAGCCTGGAATCTTCACAAGCCTCCGACCAAAAGGAGTTTAAGATGGACTTTCCCTCGGGGGGGCGGGGAGCCCGGACCTTGGGAAAGTGGAAACGTCAGCGTTGGCTTCTGGAGAGAGTGGCCGGTTCGGTGGCTTCACTCCCACCTGGAACGCTGCCTCGTGGCCACGTGTAGCAGGCTTGGGGCGGTGCCTCGGTTTACCCGCTGCCCCGCTGGGTGCCGAGGGTCTGCCGTGCCCTTGTGTGACTCTGAACCGGGTCGGGGAGGGCAAGGCCGGGGGCAGCCCGAGGCGAGCGCCGGCCGTTGAGTGGCCCCGCGCCCCCGGCTCTGCTCCTCCGCCTGCCGCGCTGGGGTTTGTTCCGTTGGGGGCGAAGTGCGAGTTTCTGGTCGTGAGCGGGGGCTCCAGCAGCGAGGGGCCCGGCGCCTCCCCGGGCGCTGGGCGGGGTGGCGGCCTCGCTGCTCCCTGGCCCGCGGGCAGCGCCCGCCTCTGCCCTGCGGTCTGGGTTTCCGTCCGGGTTGCGGGCGCGGGCGCGGGCGCGGAGCCGAGGCCGGGCGGGCTGGGGGCGCGGGTGCCGAGGCCTCCCCGCCCGGTCCCGCCTCGCGCCCACCGCGTGTTGCTCACGTGGCTCCCGCGGCCGCGGCGCGTCCGGCAAGTGCGCAGCCCGCTCTGTGGGCGCCTGGGGGGGCCGGTCGGCCCGGCTGCCGGCCGAGGCGGGCGCCCGGGGGACGGGGACGGGGGACGCGGGACGGGGCCGCGCCCTCCGGCCGGATGAGGGAGGGGCTGCAGCTCCGCCCCGCGCCACGGCCCCGCTGCCCCCGGCTCCTCCGCCCCGGCGGGCCCCTCGCCCGGCGACCCCCTGGCGTCTGCAGCCCGCGCGCGGGTCCCCGGCACCGGCAGGGCCGCCCCTCGGGGCCGTTGCTGCCCAGCTCGGCCCGCACGAGCCCGCGGCCGGCACCTGCCCGAGGGCGGGGCCCCCGCGGCCTCCCGGACGCTGCCCGCTGGCTCGGAGCCGTTGACGTCATCACGCTCTCCGCCGCGAGGGCCCCCGACTTCGTGAGGTGATTTACTTTTCTCGCTTTTCCATTTTGAAAAAGTTCCAGGGAAGTACATAAACTTGGCCATTAAAAACGGATTTTCCTCTAAAATCACCGGCCGAGTTTCAGGCGTGTCGTTTATCACCGGCTGCCCCCGGGAGCGGAGATCAGCCCCGACCCGAGCGCTCTCCCAGAGTGATTTGTGGGCGCCCGGGAGGCCCCCGCGGGATGACGGATCGCCCGCCCGCCCGCCCTCACCGCGGGCCTCAGCCAGCACGATGGGCCAAACCAGCCGTTTCTTCCGTCGACTGAAAATTCTTGACTTTTCCTTCTCTGACTAGAGCGATTTCCTTAAGGTCTTTGCTTAGCCTTCTCATCCTTCATTTTCTTTTTTCAAGGATTTTATATATTTATACCTGAGAAACAGAGACAGAGAGCGGGAGAGAGAGAGACAGAGAGAGACAGAGAGGGAGAAGCAGGCTCCATGCAGGGAGCCGGACGGGGGACTCGATCCTGGGACCCGGGGTCAAGCCCTGGGCCCTCCGGGCATCCCTAACTTTCTCATCCTTTTAATGGAAATACGATTTATTCTTCTGAAGCATCTCTCTCTCTTTTTTTTTTTTTTTTTGTTTGTTTGAGGAAGGAGTTATGGATCTTTTAATGCTGGCCAATCCAGATGGTTATTATTCTTTCCTTTGTCCTCTGCTTCTTTTCAAAAGCATCTGCAGGAAGGAAGTGATAGAAGTGATAGAAGAAAAGCCTCGTGACTTTCCTGGCTGGGTGGTCCCAGTGGATCCCCCAGGCAGGTGCGGCGCCCTTCTCAGGAGGGGCAGTAGGTCCCCCCCTCAGAGGTCCCTCCAGGAGAAGGCGCCCTGCAGGGTTTTCTGGAAGACCTCCTCCCAAAAAGAAAACTCCACCCCTGATTACCCATACAAAGGATTGTAAGGATGGATTGGAATAAAATGTATAAACAGCCGCGATCTTTCTTCTTTACGCACTTGTCTTCTCCTTCCCATGTAACTTGAAAGGTTTTATTTATACTTTAAAATATCTTATTTTTAGTAATCTATATACCCGACATAGGCTTGAGCTCATGACCCCGAGGTGAAAAGTCTTGTGCTCCACCAACTGAGCCAGCCAGGCGCACCCCAAAGTGATCATTTTTGTTGTGGTGGTTGTTTTTTAAAGATTTTTAAAAATTTTATTTATTCATGGGAGACAGAGAGAGGCAGAGACACAGGCAGAGGGAGAAGCAGGCTCCATGCAGGGAGCCGGACGTGGGACTCGATCCCCCGTCTCCAGGATCATGCCCTGGACTGAAGGCAGCGCTAAACCACAGAGCCCCCAGGCTGCCCAGGGTGAAGGTTTTATTTTATTTAATTTTATTTTTTTATTTTTGTTTTTTTAATTTATGATAGTCACACAGAGAGAGAGATCGAGAGAGAGGCAGAGACACAGGCAGAGGGAGAAGCAGGCTCCATGCACCGGGAGCCCAACGTGGGATTCGATCCCGGGTCTCCAGGATTGCGCCCTGGGCCAAAGGCAGGTGCCAAACCGCTGCGCCACCCAGGGATCCCGGGTGAAGGTTTTTAGATGCTAAACTTTGAAGTTCAGAGATTCATACCTAGAGTTACAGGAAGTTTCTGAGGGTCAGGCCTAGCAGGAGGAAAATTGGCAAAGGCCAGCTGGAGGAGCGCTGTAATCTTTCTCTCTTCTCTGGACACCAGGGGAGCAGACATGGAGTATGACTGCTGACCATTCCGTTCTGTTTTCTGCAGAGCTGAGCTCATATTCATAATTACTAGCTGAGTAAAGTATAATGTGACGGAGGAGCCTTAATAGCATCCATATTTCCAAACACAGCAGCTTTAGGCCAGTAATTGGGTCAGTGCACTGGTGGAAGATGCCAGCCTGAAAGGCCAGCTAACCTTCAGAACTTTGTCTTTTAACATTTTTCTAGAAGATAAACATACTGATTGTTTTTCAGTTTCAGTTGGGGTCATACATACACAGTCCTTAGGATGAGGGACCTAAAACTTTGAACTAAGTTATAGCTGAAGGATAATGAGGCCCTACTAATGAGACTGGCAGGAAATCCGTCAAGTTTAAGCTTACCTTAGTCCAGGGGACTTAAAAAAAATGTTAACTGGCTTTGACTGCATGTTAGACTAGATTAATATGCTCATGATGAATACATTAGGGTAAAAAGGGTATATTAGGGTCATTTTCTATCATCAGGTTTTGGGTAGACTGTTCTCAACGTATTCCTTTCTGTAGTTCAGTATAGACAAGTGTGTGGATGTGGGCCTCAGCACCTGGACAACTTATAATTCATCTTCATGCATTTTTTAAAAGATTTATTTATTTTAGAGAGCGAGATTGAGAGAGTGAGTAGGAGGGGCAGAGGGAGAGGGAGAGAATCTCAAGCAGATTCCCCGCAGAGTGTGGAGCCGGACGCAGGGCTCTATCCCACGACCCTGTGATCACAATCTGAGCCGAAATGGAGTCAGACATTCAACCAGTTGAGCCACCCAGGCACCCCGCTTGCTTAGTTCGAATATTTGGCACCAGAATGGATCCTTAACTGCTGAGGAAGAATTGAGTGTGACATAAACCTTTCACCACCCACATCTTAATAGCAACTTCTCCAATAGAGATATGAATTCTATTTTTTTAAGTTTATTTAAATAATTTTTACACCCAATGTGGGGTTCAAACTCATGATCAAACATCAAGAGTCACACACTCTTCCAATTGAGCCACTTAGGGAGCCCCCGAGTTCCATTTTCAAGAAATCAGAAGAGGAAAAGGTAGGTATTAAAAAGAAGGAAAATTTCAGTTTCTAGACAAGAAAGGAAGAGGCAAAGGGCACCTGGGTTACCCACTATTTCTAGCTTGTCATAACCCTAATAAAAGTAATGCTAATTTATCTGTTCCACTTATAATTAAATGATCAAAAATACATGCACTTTTTTAAAGATTTTATTTATTTATTCATGATAGACATGGCGGGGGGGGGGAGGCAGAGACACAGGCAGAGGGAGAAGCAGGCTTCATGTTGGGAGCCCGACATGGGACTCGATCCCGGGACTCCAGGATCACGCCCTGGGCCAAAGGCAGGTGCTAAACCGCTGAGCCACCCAGGGATCCCCCACTTGTCTTCTTAAAATAATTACAAACTGTCAGAGAAGCTAGATTTTTGACAATAGTTCTTGGAAATATTGAGGAAAATCCAGTATTTATGCATGAAGCAGTTGGTTCACTTCCTTGTGACTGCAAAGTGTGTTCTTTTACTTTTTATTATTATTTTTAAATATTTTACTTATTTATGAGAGACACATAGAGAGGCAGAGACACAGGCAGAGGGAGAAGCAGGCTCCCTGCAGGGAGAGCGACATGGACTTGATCCCAGGACACCGAGGTCACGCCCTGGGCTGAAGGCGGCGCTAAACGGCTGAACCACCCAGGCATCCCAAAGTGTGTTCTTTTAAAAAAGATTTTACAGGGATCCCTGGGTGGCGCAGCGGTTTGGCGCCTGCCTTTGGCCCAGGGCGCGATCCTGGAGACCTGGGCTCGAATCCCACGTCGGGCTCCCTGTTCATGGAGCCTGCTTCTCCCTCTGCCTGTGTCTCTGCCTCTCTCTCTCTCTGTATGACTATCGTAAAAATAAAAAAAAAAATAAAAAAAAAAAAGATTTTACAGGGGATCCCTGGGTGGCTCAGTGGTTTGGCACCTGCCTCTCCCTCCGCCTGTGTCTCTGCCTCTCTCTCTCTGCCTCTATGAATAAATCTTTTTAAAAAAAACTTCCACCGCCTGTGTCTCTGCCTCTATGAATAAATCTTTTAAAAAAAAACTTCAAGTAATACAAGACACAGCTGAGATAATTTAAGGCAAAACCCTACATATAAAATAGAATGGAGAAAAACCCTGAAGGAAAAAAGAAAAAATTTTTGTGGATGACTAAGAAATAAAACAGCTAAACAATCAATCTGGTTAGTAAAGGCACATTAATCATTTTTGTAACTAATGCAGGTTTTCTTTTCCCAGACTACTATTATTTTATCCCTTCTCTCTGAAAAATGAAAACCCATTCGCTTTTTTTTTCCTTTTGCTTTTCCCCAGAAATTAGAGGTTGGTAAGTGGTAATTAGCACAGCTCCTGTCAAAGCCAATTGCCTAATGGGGACCGACATTTGACTGGAGTCGGAGGAATGGAAGACGGCTAATGCGGAGCTCATTAGTCCCCGCTGGTTCCTTGGACGTTCTCCTCTCCTGAGAGAGAAGGGCAGGCTGCCCTGCTCGCTCTCCTATTTGTAGATATATTGCTGTGCTGCTACGTTTCTGTTCTAGAAGGCCTGGAGGCACGGGCACTGGGAAGGTAAACGGCACCAGGGGCAACATAATGCGTCTGCAGCTGTGCACGCTACGCACTTGGCTGGAGTTTGCAGACTAAGGTCTTCGCCTCATGGACCCAGACGGGAGCCTCCGCAGCTGTCTTGCTCCTGCTCCGCGCCGCCCCTGGGGAGCTGAGGGGACCTGCTCCGTGCCAGGTACTCGGATCTTCCTCAGCCGCTTCGTTTAACCGTTTCAGCTGCGGGCTGGGCTTGCCGCTCTGCTCGGCGTCGCCCGAGCTGCCGACTGAAGCTCTGCAGTGTACCGGACAGACTAACCCCAGCCAGTATTTTTGATTCGTGGGGCAAAGATGGAGATGTTGAAAATCTGTTCCAAATCGGTGTACGAAACCCTAAGAACAAGTCTGTACAGGAACAGGATGTATATGGACCAGAAGCCTCTGCTCTGCACCCAGAGACACACACAGTCGTATCGCATGGAGATCAATTTAATGACCTTTCCTCCCAGGGGCCGATAAAACAGAGTAGACAACCGGCAACAGACATAATCTCACAATTGGAAATGGCGAACCACACTCTCCCTGTGTCCCTAGGTCTGCAGACTTAATACGCGCCTTTACACAAACCGAGAAACTCCTGGAGAAACAAGTTTGCGGCTGTAAACCAACTCTGTTACGTCACCTTCTCCACCATGATTTGTGTCTGACATTCTGCAGCTCTGGCTTCAGAACAAGGACGGGGAGCCTGAAACACGGCCCTTTCTCTCCACTGCGCTTACAGCTTCTGTCCAACGGAGGACGCGAGGTGCCCTGGGAAGGCGTGGGGCGCTGTTGCCGCAGCTGAGCATCCAGGGCAGGCGGAGGGCTCTCCGGGCGGCGGGAGGCTGGTGTCTGGCCACTTGCAGGAGAGCGGGTGAGGCAGGGGTCGGGGTCAGGGTCGCACCGTGACGCAGCAGCTTGGGAGATCCAGGCACAAGGGGTTTATGGAAAATAAAACAAGGTCACGGGCCTCCCAGCTGTGGCTACGTGGGCTCCCTCCTGGCTCGCTTGGGCTCCTGCGGTTGTGCGGGCCGCGGGCTCCTCGCCGACATGCTCCGCAAGGAGCGCAGGCTCTGCACCTGCTGGAGGCGCAGGCTGAGCTCCTGGCGACAGGCCTGCTGCACGGCTTCCGTCTTCCCGAGGCCCCAGCTCAGGGCAGCGGCCAGCGCCCGGGGGTCTTCCCTGGTGACCAGCTGCGGCGAGAGAGAACCAGTGAGAGCCGCGGCCGCCCTCCTCAGCGGCGGCCCCCGCGCCCAGGGGCACAGCCCGCGCTAGTCTGCGTGCTCCAATGCCGGCTTCGCCCAGTCGGCGGTCACGGGCCTCGTCTTACCCTCTGACGCCAACAGGAGCGGGTCTCTGCAGGGAAGTTTCCCGGGAGCAACTGTAAAGTCCTCCACTTAGGGAAACGCGGCCGCACACCGGTCACAGGTGTCCCCCCTTCCAGCTACACTGGGGAGGCGCTCGCCGAGGAGGACGCGAGGGACCCCCCGGACGAGCCTTTCCCTCCGATGGTTTACGAGTACGGAGCCTCCTCAAGTGCCGACAGAGCCAGAAGCCTGAGCCCTGCGTCCCCCCTGCCAGCTTGGCTCGTTCTGTAGCCCTGGGCCCAGAGCATGATGTCTGAGGAGCAGAGCGAGGGCCCCATTTCGTTCAAGCCATTTTCATAGAGATTAAATGGGACAGCTGGCACAGCCCAGTCGAACGGCAGCTCCGAGTCAGCTGCGCTGAGCCTCATGCCCTCCCGCCAGGGGGGTCTGCAGGGCTGCACTGCGGGGGGTGGGGGGGCTCAGGGCCCCCGGTTCTCGCCCACCTCCAAATCCTGACTGGACAGGCTCAGCTCCGGGGCCGGCTTCTCCTTCAGCGCGGCGAGGACCTGGCTCGCGAGTGCGCTCTCGGAGGTGCTCTCGCCGTTACTGCCCGTGTCGCCCGCATCCACCTCGTCGCTGAGGTTGCCGCTGGACGCTGCAAAGCAGACGTGAGACAGGGATCGCAAGCAGCAATGAGCAAGACGGGAGCGCGCCACTTCAGGAGGCCAGCAGCTGTGGCTTCACCCTTCCTGGAGCACATCAGGAATGCCGGCTCCCCCAGGAAAGGCTCTCCAGGCCCTCGGCCCTCAGGGTGACTCCCCTGGCCACTGAGTCCTACCTTGCTGCTTTGACAGGATGCTGCCTTCCTTCTCCAAAGCCTGGAGGTAAAGCTCCAAGAGCTGCTTGGACTGACGGGCTTCCTCCCTCTGGTCAAGAACCTGCTGGAGAGTGTCCTGGAGCCCCTGCACTGTGATGCAACTTTGGCAAAGTTCCTGAGCCAGGTCTGAACACGGAACATCGATGAGCACCTAACAAGCAAACACAGACTTTAACCTGAAGATACTGTCAACACACGGCGGCCCCAACCTGTCCTCGGCAGGCTCCCTCCTTCCTTCAGCAATCCGTGTACTTGCCGCCTCTTGCGAACCTGCCAGGGTGCGGCAACCACGCTGCTGGGAATTTGTTTTATGGACAAGCACGTGTGCGAGACGACATTGGTCTAAGTTTTTTGCAGCATAACCCAAATGTCCAAGAGTGGGGGAGACCCCTTAAACAAGTCATGGTACATGTACAAAAGGGAATATTATGCAGTGGTGAAAAAAGGGGAACAAGTGTCTTTTATATACTGATCTAGAATACTCTCCAAACATTTTATCATTGTATTTATTTATTTGACAGAGAGAGAGAGAGAGAGAGCACAAGCAGGAGGAGCAGCAGGCAGAGGGAGGGAGATGCTTCACCAACTAAGCCACCCAGCAACCCTGGAATATTTTTTTTTTTAAGATTTATTTTAGAGAGATGTGTGTGTGCACGTGGTGGTGGGCGGGGGGGGGAGGGAAAGGGAGAGGGAGTCTCAAGCAGACTCCCTGCTGAGCGTGGAGCCACGACCCCTGAGAGCATGACCTGATCCAAAATCAAGAATTGGAGGCTCACCCAACTGAGCCACCCAGGTGCCGCTCTCCAAATATTTCTTAAAGAAAAAGTAGATATGCTTCAACTCGTGTAATAGAAGGGAGGAGAAAACATATTTGTCTGGTATATAAAATATCTGTAGAATGGGAAACTGAGATATTGCTTATCTCTGGGAAGGGAAACCCGGTGGCTAGGGGCAGGACTCAGATTTTTTGTGTGTATCACCCACCCTCCAAAAAACAGCTTTATTGGTATAGAAGACACATGCCACACGATTCATCCCTGTAGAGCGTACACCTAAGTGGGTTAGAACATTCAGAGTTGTGCAGTCATCACCACGATCCAGTTTAGAACATTTTCACTACCCCGAAAAGAACTGTACTCCTTAGTATGTACTATTTCTCCTCAAAGCTCCCAACCCCAGGCCCTGGCAGCCCTAACCTATCTTCTACTTTGTACAGATTTGCATATTCTGGCCACTTCATATAAATGTGACTATAAAATCTGTGGCCTTTTTTTTTTTTTTAAAGATTTTATTTATTTATTCATGATAGACACAGACAGAGAGAGAGAAGCAGAGACACAGGCAAAGGGAGAAGCAGGCTCCCGGATGGGAACCTGACATGGGACTCGATCCCGGGACTCCAGGATCGCGCCCTGGACCAAAGGCAGGTGCCAAACCGCTAAGCCACCCAGGGATCCCCCATCTGTGGCCTTTCATGTCTGGCTTCTTTTGCTCAGCATATTTTGAAGGCTTATCTGTGTCACAGCAATGGGTTAATACTTCTTTTTTTTTTTTAATTTTTATTTATTTATGATAGTCACACAGAGAGAGAGAGAGAGGGGCAGAGACACAGGCAGAGGGAGAAGCAGGCTCCGTGCACCGGGAGCCTGACGTGGGATTCGATCCCGGGTCTCCAGGATCGTGCCCTGGGCCAAAGGCAGGCGCTAAACCGCTGAGCCACCCAGGGATCCCAATACTTCCTTCTTTTTAAGGGCTGCATAATATTCCACTGTGTGGACAGACCACATTTACTCATTCATTGGTGCATGAGCATTTGGGCTGGTTTCACTTTTTGGCTACCAGTATACTCTTCTGTACCTCTTGGATTTTGAGCCATGTGAATGTATTTTCATTATTTATTCAAAAATATGTAAGTTTATAAGTTTAAAAAATTACTAAAAAGCCACCTCCTGGCAGGGGCCTCCCTGGAGCCCCCAATCTAGACTACTAGCCCCGCCGCCCTCGGCACACTGCCCCACCTACTCCTCCTCCAATATGCTTCCTGTTTTGTCTGCCTCCCTCCATTGGAATTCTCTGTCTGGCTTGTTCGTCACTGTACCCCCAGACAGAACCATGCCAGGCACAGGGCAAGGGCTCAAGAAATATTTTTTGGAATTAACACATACTATTTTCATACCAGTTTTACTGGACAGGAAATGCATGCAAAGAGCCTTACTGGCTCAAAGTCATAGTGGATGGAGCTGGGATTTAATCTGGCTCCTCCTGACTCCACATTCTTTGGCACTACATCCTTAACTCCTCTGGTGAGCCGAACTAGGTCTATGTGGAGCCTGAGCATCTTCCTGTCTTTTTTTTCTAAGATTTTATTATTAATTATTATTATTATAATATATTTTAAAGATTTTATTTATTTACTCATGAGAAACTCAGAGAAGAGAGAGAGAGAGAAAGGCAGAGACATAGGCGGAGGGAGAAGCAGACTCCATGCAGGGAGCCTGACGTGGGACTCGATCCTGGGTCTCCAGGATCACGTCCTGGGCTGAAGGCAGCACTAAACCGCTGAGCCACCCGGGCTGCCCAAGATTTTATTATTTTGAGAGAGAGGGAGAGAGAGTATGAGCAAGGGGAGGAGCAGAGGGAAGGAGAATCTCAAGCAGACTCTGCACTGAGCATAGAGCCCAACGTGGAGCTCAATCTCACAACCCCAAGATCATGACCTGAGCTGAAATCGAGAGGCGGGCCCTTAACCGACTGCACCCCCAGGTGCCCCCAGGCATCTGTATTTTCCACTGTAGGTGCGAGAATTAGAAAATGAAAAGTCTTGGTTGTCAACAAAATACTGTTTAAAAATTAAGAAATAATTGAATTATTATGGGAAGGCACATGGAAACTAAGGGGTTGGGGGCAGCGGAGGCCGGGTGACAGAGTGTGGCTGCAGGCTGCAGAGGGGCCTCACCTGGAGGTCTTCCTCCGACAGGAGGATGATGCTGGATAGATCTTCCTTCAGCTGCCTGGCCACATTCTTCCACTTCAGCCCTGCCCCACTGTCTGTCTCATCCACATCAAAGGACTCTTGGGAAATCCAGGCTGTGCCTCCATCTGATGTAGGGGAGAAAAAGACCAGTCACAGTCAGAGTGACCTACAGTGCTGTTTTCACCTCCTCCTCCAACACACAGGCCTCGAGGATATCTGTACGTCCTTCCGACTGACCATTTAATGTCAGTGGTGAAGGAAGCGCCTTTTCTCAAGGATTCGTGGGAAGCACAATCCTCATCCAAGACCTAGATTTTCCCTTCTCTTCTACCTTTTATCTATTTCCGTGGGAAACTGCTCTGTATCTTCCTTACAGAAAGAAGCCACTTTAAACCGGAAGCATTGTCATGCACACGCAGGACCCTACCACATTTCCCTTTAGGTGAGTTTTTGTGTCTCTGGGGCTTGTTTTTGTATACAAAGACATTCATTGTCGCCAGCACTTCTGTGCTTGGGATTAGTCTTGTCCCTGACTGGAGGAGCCGTAGACACAGTCCCTGGGGCTGAGTACAAAGGTGGCTGGCAGGGCCGCTGCTGAAGAGGGATTCCCTCAATTTAGTGGCATGGGGACCGTCTTCAACGGGGACACTTTTTTAGCCTTCGATCCCATTCATCAATATTAGTCCCTTTGTATCTATAGTAACGATGACGATGTTAACATTTACCGAGTCCTTTCTGGGTATCAGACAAGACCTAAATGCTTTTTATCAGTGGTTCTCAACTGGGAGTGATTTTGCCTCCCCAAGAAGACATCTGACAACGTCAGAAGGCATTTTTGGTTGTCAGGATTGGGGTAAAGGGACACTACTGGTATCTAGTGGGCAAAGTGCAGGGATGCTGCCAAACATCCTGCAATGGACAGGACAGATGCCACAACAAAGAATTCTCCAGCCCAAAATGTCAATAGCATTGTCAAGAAACCCTGGTTTGATATATATTATGTTCTATCATCCCTACAACACCCTAGGAGAGAGAGGTACTATAATCATTACCTCAGTAAGGTGCTAAGAAGTTAGGAAACGTGCCCAAGGTCACACAGCTAGTAAATAACAATCTGGAGTGAAGCCTGGCAGCCTGACTCCACCTACGGCACTGATCTCCCGTGGCCATGCTGCATTTTAGTTACTTTTGTTCTATGAGTTATTTGATAACTGAGCCCACATCTCATTCATCTTTCCCCCAAGACTCAGCACCATGCCTTGCTTGGCATGCAGAAGGTGCTCAGTAAACGTTGGCTGCATAAATGCCGAACCAGACGAGCAGCAACCAGGTGGCTGTGCACTAAACCGAATCATGGCGGCTGTTGTATTGCAGGTGATTTTGTATATGGCCAGAGTTTCTCACCTGAATTGTTGTATGTCCACTTCTCGTTACTGGCCAACGCTACGAACTTAGTATTGGAAGGCAGACACAGGAAGTAATCGTCATCATCCACGATGGTGCCATCCTCTGCCAGGACCAGGGTGACTGGTGCCAGGGACTTATCAATGGCCAGAATGTCACAGGCTGAGAGGAATAGAATATTTGGCAGTTGACAAGTATCCATAAGAAACTACATCAGGGGATCCCTGGGTGGCGCAGCGGTTTGGCGCCTGTCTTTGGCCCGGGGCGCGATCCTGGAGACCCAGGATCGAATCCCACGTCAGGCTCCCGGTGCATGGAGCCTGCTTCTCCCTCTGCCTATGTCTCTGCCTCTCTCTCTCTCTGTGACTGTCATAAATAAAAAATAAATAATAATAATAAAAGAAACTACATCAGTCTCTGGACTCTCACTACACATGTGTTCCCGGAGCACAGCAGAATTCTTGGTAGTTAACAGGAACTACAATAACAACTACAGTTACTAGCGTTAATATACCACTTCCCACATGCCTGGTAATAAGTGCCTTTTGTATACAGTATTTAATCTCCTAAAAATCCTGTAAGGTAGGTACGATTGCTATTTCCATTTTACAGATGTCAAACTCAAGGCCCAGGGAGGTCAGGTAACTTGTCCAAAGTCCCACGGTAAGTGTCAGAGTTGAGATTTAAACCCACAGCCTGACTCCTGAGACTTTCCTCCAGCTGCTCTATATCCACATTGGGAGGCACTCGCATCTTTACTTGGATGAAAAACAAAGTCTGATTCCTTGTGAACGAGCGGCCTTTCATTCATTTAAGCAGTGGTCACCTCAAATTCTGTCAAATGTTGAAAGAAAGAAATAGAAAAAAAGGAAACGGCTTTGTGTTCTTCGTGGCGTCGTTCTGCAGCCTTTCTAACCCTACACGAAGGCCCAAGAGAAGCAGAAGTTTGTATCGATGGCTTCTCAACTTTATGGTCAAAGGGCAAGAGGCTTGTCCAGGGCAGGTCTGTGACCATCCCATTTAGCGATGGCAAAGCCTAAGATGTGAAAGGGAGGAGAGAGAGCAGCAAAGTGGCCCGGAGACTACCGATCGGGCTGGGCGATGCTGTCCGGCACCCAAACAGAACAGCAAGCCTCCCGAGGCTGCTCCAGAGAACACAAGCTCCGACACCAGCTTCTGTGCCCCGTGCATCCGGACCATGCGCTCAGGGGAACTGAAACTTCAGCAACCCTAATGCCCCAGAAATATAGGAGCACTGATGCAGCAAGAATCGCGTCACTAAAGCCTTTATGATGCTTTGTCTGCTCCTGGGTCTGTGGGATCTTGTGGGTCTCGGTGACTCCGAGAGGAAGCACCGCGCACCGACACCCACCCTGGATGCAGATTCCCGGGGAGGGCTCGGCTCTCACCTTTCACCTCTCAGAGCTTCCCTGAATAAACAATCTATTGCTACTGGCTCATAATATTTCATGTAAACGCATCATCGGCTTTGAGAGTCGCAACAATCCTGTAAATAGGACTGGAAACCTCATATTCTGCTCGTGAGGAAGCTGAAGGTGCAGCAGCTGGGGCGCGTGGGGCGGCTTATGGCATGTGCTCCTCGCCCGAGCTGCAGCGAGGTAGCCAAACGCCCAGGAGCCCGCCCAGGACCCTGCAGGGAGCCCGCCCGGAGCCGCCCAGGAGCCCGCTCAGGACCCTGCAGGGAGCCCCCCCGGAGCCCGCCCAGGACCCTGCAGGGAGCCGGCCCGGAGCCCACTCAGGACCCTGCAGGGAGTCCGCCTGGAGCCCGCCCAGGACCCTGCAGGGAGCCCCGCCGGAGCCCGCCCGGAGCCCACTCAGGACCCTGCAGGGAGCCCGCCCGGAGCCCACTCAGGACCCTGCAGGGAGCCCGCCCGGAGCCCACTCAGGACCCTGCAGGGAGCCCGCCCGGAGCCCACTCAGGACCCTGCAGGGAGCCCGCCCAGGAGCCCGCCCGGAGCCGCCCAGGAGCCCGCTCAGGACCCTGCAGGGAGCCCCCCCGGAGCCCGCTCAGGAGCCCGCCCAGGACCCTGCAGGGAGCCCCCCCGGAGCCCGCCCAGGAGCCCGCTCAGGACCCTGCAGGGAGCCCCCCGGAGCCCGCTCAGGAGCCCGCCCAGGACCCTGCAGGGAGCCCCCCCGGAGCCCGCCCAGGACCCTGCAGGGAGCCCGCCCGGAGCCCGCCCAGGACCCTGCAGGGAGCCCCCCCGGAGCCCGCCCAGGACCCTGCAGGGAGCCCGCCCGGAGCCCGCCCAGGACCCTGCAGGGAGCCCCCCCCGGAGCCCGCTCAGGACCCTGCAGGGAGCCCGCCGAGCCGCCCAGGAGCCCGCCCAGGACCCTGCAGGGAGCCCCCCCGGAGCCCGCTCAGGACCCTGCAGGGAGCCCGCCCTGAGCCCGCCCAGGACCCTGCAGGGAGCCCCCCCGGACCGCAGGCCCCGCCCGGAGCCCGCCCAGGACCCTGCAGGGAGTCCCCCCCCGGAGCCCGCCCAGGACCCTGCAGGGAGCCCGCCCGGAGCCCGCCCAGGACCCTGCAGGGAGCCCCCCCGGAGCCCGCTCAGGACCCTGCAGGGAGCCCCCCCGGACCCCGCCGCCCCGCGGACACCCTCGCCAGGCCGGCTCGGCAGCGCCCGCGCCTTCAGCCCCCGCCCGCGGCCCGCGCCCACCCTTGCGCCTCAGCTCCTCGAGGCTCGAGGCCGCCACGCCGTGCTGCTCGCGGCTGTGGTTGCGGCGCAGCACACACGGCTTCAGAGTCCGGGTCTCGGCCTCGGCGGCCCCGACCAGCGCCATCCTCCGCAGAGCGGGCCCGGCCGACCCGGGGAAGCCGGCGAGGCCCTGCGCGACGCCGTCCCGCCCCTCCCCAGCCCGGGGCGTGCCGGGAGATGTAGTTCTCGCTGCGGCACGTCACGCGTGGGACCGAGGCACGCCGGGAGCTGTAGTTCCAGTTGCCGCTAATCACGTCTGGCTCCGGGGGCATGCCGGGAGATGTAGTCTCTGCACTCAGAGCCTACTTCGTTACGTTGCTGGATTTGGCAGAGAAGTGTTTTTTCTACTTTATGTTTAGTCTCAAAAGCGGGATCAAAATGAGGTCAATAGGGATTTATTTTGAATTATGAAAGACACATGTATACTCCCTTGGGTTTTTAGCGCACTCTTATTTACATACATAGATGCATGATATTAATGCCTAAACAGTCTGTCATTGTGCCGTATTAATTTGTTTTCCCTCTTCATGCTTAAAGGATCTGCGAGATGTCTCAAACCTCAGGATAATCTGAAGGAAGTCAATTTTTTTTCAAGATTTTATTTTTTTGACAGACAGAGAGCACAAGCAGGGGGGATGATAAGCAGAGGGAGAGGGAGAAGCAGACTCCCCAGAGAGCAGGGAGCCCAACGTGGGACTGGATCCAAGGACCCAGGGATCATGACCTGAGCTAAAGGCAGATGCTCAACCGACTGAGCCACCCAGGCGCCCCTGAAGGAATTTTAAAAATTGATGACTGTAGTTTTCAGTCCTGTTGAAAATTTAACAGAGAAGCATAAGACACTCATACGTTTCCACCAGTTGGATTCCCAGCTTTATCTGTGCAAATTGGGTTGGGATCCTGGAGCGAAACACTTATATAACCAGATTAAACATTCAGGTCTCAAAGAAATCAGAGAGGAAAGGGAAAGATTCGAACTAAATCACTGTTTGACATTGTCCAGCTGCTGCTTGGCAATAAATTCCTTTTTTTTTTTTTTTAATTTTATTTATTTATCCATGAGAGACACAGAGACAGAGACGCAGGCAGAGGGAGAAGCAGGCTCCCTGCAGGGAGCTTGATGCAGGACTCGATCCCAGGTCTCCAGGGTCACGCCCTGGGCGGAAGGCGGCACTAAACCGCTGAGCCACCCAGGTTGCCCATATTCCTCTTTTTTCTAATACTACTACTTACCCCCTCTGAAAAACGTTTAATATTAAAATAATAGTAAAAAACTTTAAAAAGTTCCTCGCTTAAAAGGGGAGGCCTATTGTGTAAATGAGAAATAGGCCATATTCATTCAGTCTCTTCCATACTTTGTTTATAAGAAAATAAGGCATTATCTCATAAGATAAGGGTAAGCGTTTAAAACAGTGTTGGGGGCACCTGGGGGGCTCGGTGGTTGGGCGTGCCTTGGACTCAGGTCATGACCCCGGGGTCCTGGGATTGAGCCTCACCTTGGCCTCCCCGCGTGGAGCCCGCTTCTCCCTCTGCCTCTGTCTCTACCTCTCTGTGTGTCTCTCATGAATGAATAAATAAAATCTTAAAAACAAAAACAAACCAAGAAACACAAAACAACAATCTTTGTAGGGAGAACTGTTCCTTGAGGCAGCCCTTTTGAATACTCCATAATCCATCAAAACACCGCAATATGGACTGGCCCATTGTGTAACACGTGCAGTCTTTGTGTGCGACCCTACACTCGGCCTAAAACCTAACAACTCGATGACTCTAGAGGACGAGAAGGATCTCCTCGGCGGAAAGCCGCGTTCAGCGTCCCCCCGGCGGCGTGCAAGCCGCGGGCGGACTCCTCAGATGCTGCGGTTGGGTGAGCATCCGCGGTAGGCTCTCCGCAAACGATACCGAGCCGGACCATTTCCTGATTAATTTCCACGTTCCTGGGGATCCCTGGGGGGCGCAGCGGTTGGGCGCCTGCCTTTGGCCCGGGGCGCGATCCTGCAGACCCGGGATCGAATCCCGCGTTGGGCTCCCGGTGCATGGAGCCTGCTTCTCCCCCTGCCTGTGTCTCTGCCTCTCTCTCTCTCTGTGACTATCATAAATAAATAAAAATCAAAAAAAATATTTCCACTTCCACGTTCCTTCCCATTCGTTCATTCGTTCGAGACCTAGCGAGTCCATGCCTGTGCCCGAGGCACCGTGGGGCCGGACAGCGACTTAACGCAGGGAGAATGATGCAGCGAGGACGGGCTCAGGATGCTGCCGGCAGCGGGGCCCGAGGGCACACGCGCGGTGACCCGGCCGTGCGAGCGCGCCCCGCTCGGGGTCGGGGCTCCCGCAGGCGCCCTCATCGACTGCTCAGTGCCGGCTGCTCTGGTCTGGGCGGGCGAGCGCGTGGGGGCTCCTGGGAGGCGCTCGCCCAGCGGCGATGGATTAGCCAGGCCTCAGGAAGATGGCGTCCTCGGAGCAGGCAGAGCCGCCGAGCCAGGTGAGGGGAGAGGGCTGCCCCGCCGCGGCTGCCGCGGCGCCCCGAGCCTCCCCGCCCGGCGGCCGCGACCTCAGGCCCCCGGCCCCGCCCCCGGCGGCCCCGCGCGGGTCGGTGCCGCCCGCGCTCGGCCGGGAGGCGGCGGGACCCTCGGGGCGCAGGCGGCCGCGGCGGCGGGGCTCCTGCCCGGGGGCGGCCGCGAGGGGCCGTGGGCCTCGGGGGGGGGGCGCGGGGGGGCCGCCGCCTGCAGAGCCGCCTGCTCCCGCCCGTCGGCCGCGGGGTCGGCCCCACGCCTCGCGGGCCCGGGGCTCCTGCCACAGCCGGGCCCCAGCAGGTCGCGGTGCGGGGCCTCCGGGACGGGATCCGCGGGCGGGGCGGCGCGGGCGGGGGAGCCGGAGGCCGGACCGCGACCCCGACCCGACCCGACCCGACCCCGACGCCGACCCCGCCCCTGACGCCGACCCGACGCCGATCCGACCCCGACCCCGACGCCGGACCCCGATGCCAACCCCGACTCCGACTCGACCCCGACTCCGACTCGACCCCGACCCCGACCCCGACCCCGACCCGACCCCGACGCGACCCTGACCCCGCCCCTCCCGCTCCAGCTCCCTCCTTCGTCGCCGGGGGGCGCCGCCTGAAGCCGCCCCCTCCGCGTCCCTGGCGGTGGGGCTTCCGCAGCCCCGGCACGGACAGCACCTGCCCCCAGACCAGCTTCTGCTCCCGCGAGCGCCTCGGAGACGACGCGCGGGTCGGAGCGGCGGGAGCCCCGGGCGGTCTGGGATCCCGAGGCGGCCGGGCCCCCTCCGGCCTCGCGCCGCGGGGCCCCTGGAAACCCGGCTCTGCCGACCGCCGCGTGCTAGGGTCGCCCACCGCTCGGACGGCGGCCGTCAGCCCCGACTCCTCCAGGGCCTTAGGTCGCCAGCGCGGGGAAGGCCCCCAACAGCCCGCCACCTGCACCGTCCTAGTGCCCGAGGGCCCCTTGGTTCAGGAGATTGTCCCCCGGTAGGTGTGCAGCGGCTCCCAGGCCCTTTGCGGGGCTTTGGCCCGCACCTGTTGGCTTGTCGGCTCTGCCTGTCCTTTGCGCTCCTGTCCAGAGCTGCTGGAGCTGGGGCTGCCCCAGGACGCTGGCCTCCATGCCGGATCCTGTCCGTGTCTAGCACTAAGCCGCAGGTGCTCACTGACCAGGAACCAGCTCCCGCAGGACTCGCTTGCCGCCTCGCTGTCAGATGCTGATCCACGCGGCTTCCCCGGTTCTGCAGTCAAAGCAGAGTGGAGTGGAAAGGATCACTTGCGAATTCCTGTAAACCTGGTTTGCAGGAAGGAACACATTTTACCTTCGGGACGAGTCAGTGCTTATTTCACAGAAGGTCTCCGTCGGTCGGCCTTGTGGCCTCGGTCTCTCGTTCCACCCTTCCCTCCTTTGAGAGGCCGCGGAGAACAGCGGCGTGGGCCCCGGCGCCATCCTGCAGGCGTAGGATCCTAGCCTCACGGCTCACTGCTTTCTTTGGCTTTGGTTTCTCCATCTGCACACTAGGAGTGATTCTGGTGCCTGTCTTCGAGGGTTTCTCTGAGGAGTAAACAAATTAACTTATTTAAACCTTTTGAAGATTTATTTGAGAGAAAGAATGTGTGCACCCGTGTGTGCAAGCAGGGCAGGGGCAGAGGGAAGAGGAGAGAGAGAGGGTCTCAAGCAGACTTCTCTGCTGAGTGTGGAGCCAGCCGGGGGCTTCATCCCCAGACCAGAGATCATGACTTGAGCCAAAACCAAGAGTCAGACACTTAAGCGACTGAGCCACCCAGGTGTCCCCAAATTAACTTATTTTGGAATAGTGCTTGCCATGCTGTGATGTTGTTATTGCATTCGTTGAACTCTGGATTTTCACTCGCCAACAAGAGAAATCTTTCTCAAGCCTTATTACAATGTTTTAGGATATGGTTTTTCACATGTTGACTACCAGCCCACTAAAGCTGTTCTTTTCTTTGTTCTGGAGCAATTTCTTTCCAATTTAAAGGAATACCCCGAATGCTGGTGTTTATCCTAGCTGTCCTTTGTGACTCTTAGATGGTGACGCACTTGCTTTTTTTCTTAATGCTGACCTTTTTGGTCTTTTTTCAAGACATTCTCTTGGACTTAGAAATCATATTTATTGCTTCTCATCCTTGTTCTGTTTCCCCCATGTTACTCCAGTTTGCATGGTTGATCTCTTAGGAGAGGCCCTTCTAGTCTGTTCGTGGTATGGCCCATAGGAGTGGGAGCTGTTATCCTGTTTCTGCACTTCTCCACCAGAAGAGCAGAAGCATGATTCAGTCTAATTGTTTAGTGGTTATTGAATATGGAACGTATTACAGAATATAGATTTCAGGTCCGTTGAGATTCCCTGGATAGACTACATTTGGGATTGAGAAAACACAGAAGCAGGGAAGGGAGAAGAACCCAGTGGAGACAGTAAGGAGTAGAAGAGCACGGCCTTGTGTCCCGACAGACTTTGAACTCCAGCACTCACTTGCCACTCCACCTCTCTGACCTATTTTTCCCTTTGTAAAATAATGATTACCCTGAAGCATTGTTCTGAGGGTTGACTGAAATCATGAATGTAAAGAACATCTGCTGCACACTAAGTGCTCAGTGAGTGTTAGTTTCCTTCTTGAAGAATCTATGCACAGGTTTGGAAGTCTGCCGAACTCTTGAGTAATAGTAGTTCAAATGAGGTATTTTTCCCCTCAACTTTTTTTTTTTATTTTGAAGAATTTCCAACCTGTAGAAATGTTGAAGGAGTAACAGAGGGAACTCTTGTAAAACTCCCATAAGAACTTTGAGATACAGTGTTTACATTTTGCTGAGTTTGCTTTATTCCTGTCTCTTTACATGTATTTTTTTTTAAGGATTTGAGAGTGAGTTACAGACATCATGGTATTCCATCCTAGAATACTTCACCTTGTCATAAGAGTGAGATTATTGTCTAATGTAACCATAATACCATTATCACACAAGAAATTTAATATCGATAAAATATTTAATAATACAGTCCACATTCAGATTCTCCCTATTAAGAAAACTCCAAATCCAATCAAGAAATAGGGATTGCGTTGATTTTTCTCTTAGTACGCTTTAATCTAGAATGATCCCCTAGTCTTTAAATTTCTATTTCTTTCTTTCTTTCTTTTTTTTTTTTTATTTATGATAGTCACAGAGAGAAAGAGGGAGAGGCAGAGACACACAGGCAGAGGGAGAAGCAGGCCTCATGCACCGGGAGCCCGACGTGGGACTCGATCCCGGGTCTCCAGGATCGCGCCCTGGGCCAAAGGCAGGCGCCAAACTGCTGCGCCACCCAGGGATCCCTTTTTTTTTTTTTTTTTTACTGAAGTTTAACATATACGTAGAAAGCACATAAGCCCTGTATCTAGCTTGGTGAATTTTCAGCGTGAACATACATATGTAACCAGTACTTACATTATGAAATCAAACATTACAAGGACCTCAGAAGCCTCCCTGGTGTCCTTCCTGTCACTGTCCAACCCCCTTAAAGGTTGCCCCTAGTCTGATTATATCCATTATTCATAATCCATAGATTAATTTAATAGTTTATTGAGTGACAGAGTCCTTATGGCCAAAACTTTTACTGTGGAATTCTAGTAGGTGTGTTGTGGTCAATTTAATGAGTTTTGACAAATTTATATACCTATATAGCCACTACCACAATCAAGATCAAAACAATTCTGGTATTCCTACATGTTCCCTTATGCTGTGTCCCAGTAAGTACTGGCCTTTGGCCTCAGGAAATCTGAACTGCTATCACTATTGATTATGTTCGGCAGTGATTTTAGTCCTTTTGAATGAATTCATAATGTATGCGTTCTTTTGTCTGTGTCTCTCTTTTTTTTTAAGATTTTATTTATTATTCATGAGAGACAAACAGAAAGAGGCAGACACACAGGCAGAGGGAGAAGCAGGCTCCCTGCGGGGAGCCCGATGCGGGACTCAAGCCCACGACCCTGAGATCAGGACCTGAGCAGAAGGCAGATGCTCAACCCTTGAGCCCCCCAGGTGCCCCTTGTGTCTCAATTCTTTTGCTCAGAGTAACGTTTGAGGAACTTACATTAACTTACATTGTTGTGTCAGTAATTCATTACTTTTTTTTTTTACTTTTTTTTTAAAATTTATTTATTTATGATAGTCACAGAGAGAGAGAGGCAGAGACACAGGCAGAGGGAGAAGCAGGCTCCATGCACCGGGAGCCCGATATGGGACTCGATCCCGGGTCTCCAGGATCGCGCCCTGAGCCAAAGGCAGGCGCCAAACCGCTGCGCCACCCAGGGATCCCAATTCATTACTTTTTATTCGTGTGCAATATTCTCTTGTATAGGTATGTCACAATTTGTTCATCTGTTCACCAGTTTATAGACATTTGGATTCTGTTAATCATCTCTTACTGCATAACAGTATTACAATAGATTTATACAGATTACCAAAAACACACATTCTTTGTTTCAGTTTTCGTGAGTCAGGACACAGTTTAGCTGAGCCTCACAAGGCAAGACATCAAGGTGTTTGCTGGGGCTGTGATCTCATGTGGATCTTGACTGGGGAAGGATCTGCTTCCTAGCACATATGGCTTTTGGCAGCATTTAGTTCCTTATGGCCTGCAGACTGAGTACCTCACTTTGTTACTGGCAGTCAGCCAGGGGCCACCCTCAGTTTTTTGGCACAGGGGTCTTCCTGACATGGTCACTTGGCTTCCTCAAAGCCAGTAGGGGAGTCATACGTAGTGTAATCACACACATGTTAATTACATGCTTCCTGCCACCTTTGCCATCCATGCCCTGTTGGCTAGAAGCGAGTCACAGGGGCCATTCATGCCAATGGGACCACTCGGGGCATGGATACTAGGAGCTGGGGATCCTGAAAGTCACCTTCGAGTCTGTTCCCCCACGTGATTGGTTCTAGTTTGGGATTACTATAAATACTCATGTATTGTGAAGAGATAGGTTTTCTTTCTTTT